AGGGGGATTCGCCCTCTATTATAAGAGTCTAAATATCAGCAGCTATTAGCCTGCCTGTCTCCCTGCGGCTTCTCAAATCATCCAGAACCGGATTACTCAGCTGCCAGTCGTCCTCAGGCTCCAACACTCAGGGTTTATATGCAACATGAAAATACTGTTTACATATTCCGCTAAAAAGAAAGAAGAAAAAAAAAGGACTTTATAATAATTCACCTTGAACGCAGGATGCAGTGTACTACAGGTCGGACTAATGGTAACGAAATCCACCCACCAGCACTAAAGCACGCTTAATTAACACATCGTGTCTCATTTGTGTAACCTGTGCAAACACCCTGCAAATCGTGTACTGCAATATTTTTATGCTCAAACGAGACATCTCCTGTAATCATCAGCGGTTGCTTAGAAACAGGAAGCAGCGTTGTGGTTTGGAAGCGCAGGAATGACCCGTGGAGAGGCCTGGCCTCCGTCATGACCTCCAGCTATGTGCCAGGCCTTCCCCTTGACGTCAGAATTAAACTCACCAAATGTCGCAGTAATTACGCTCAGCTGTGCACACACTTAATGTCTCTCCGGTTATTATGCTCTTCTCGACATGAATGAGGTGATTTAATAAGCTCTCGAGCTTCGAAGTACAACCAGCAAATGCAGGCAACTTTAACTTTCATCATCTCTGACTATGTAAATGTAGTAATAGTTTTTCTCCAATAAAAGACACGATGAATCAATGCCTGACATGAAAACTGAATTTAGTAGACCCAGTCAGAAACTACTGTGCTCTTTAGTCTTCAAGGCATTAACTGCAGAGATTTTTGCAGCTTGTTAAAAACTCAGCAGTCAGAGATCAGAACCCAGAGAAGTGGTGATTGGATCAATGCTGGGAGGATAAAAGGTTTCCTTAATAAAAATGTTTACATTTTATGCAGAAAATATGATTTCTTATTTTGTTGACTGCATTTATGTGGTTGAATCCCTATACAGCAAAACCTTTATTAATGTCTTTTTAAAAAGAATAACCTTTGAATCGTTTGAAAAACCCACTTTCTCTTGGTATAATCTTTATGTGAGTTTCTGCAGAGGAATGGCAGATTTTTTTCTGCTCCATGTATGATCTCAATATCTAGAAATTAGGTACATGGGGGGAAATAAAGGGCTTCAGGATGTCAAATCTGCAGCTCAGCAGAGAGATCAGCATGCAGAAACTCTGTGTTTTACCTCTATTGATATTGACTCACTTTTCCGCCTAATTATTTAGGCCTCCACAGTGTTAGGATTTTGGCTTCAGCTTTCTTTCAACAATTGAATGCTTTGTTCAGTCGAGTAGCGTGAAACAATCCCAAACGTAAATAATCAATGTCAGCAATTTTTTTTAGAGAGAATGATGTAAATCATTTTCACAGTCCAGTATTATGATCAATGGCCTCACTAAAGACTGATTTATACTCAGAAACCAGGTCTCCCTTCTGCAGACACTCAGGTGCACCTCTTCAAAATTGTAGGTAACCGCAGACAGGAGGCCTCTGATTGGTCAAATCTACGCTCTACTCTATGCGTATTTCCTGTTTGGTACTTTACCAGCTTGTTTTGTTTGTATGACCGCCATTGTGGAAAATGCATTGAGAAGAACGAGCTGTGCGAGAACGCTGGGACCCTTTTTCCACCTGGATCCCCGCTCTTTTTCACCCTCATGTCCCTCTCTTATCGCACAAACTTGACCCTTGCATTTTTTCCCTTCCTTACCACCTATGTAGACCCACAGCTACTTCGTTATTATCCCTCATGCGTTGTGGCGTGTAATAACATAGCGCAGACTACGCTTCAAAATTGGGCATAAATTAAAAAATCTGCCTCATATCTGCGACAAGCTCACTGCGACACACTGCTGAGGGAGTATAACCAGCCCTTAAGGCAGCATGAAGAGACCCAAATCGGTTTTTATTTGCCTTTTTTTGACTGATACCTTATCTTTTTATGGCAGTCTAAACAACACAGATCTGATTTTTCAAAAGGTGGACCTCAGTCCAATTACCAACCTATTAAATGTTGGTGATGATCTGGATCCAGGAATTCTGTGAATTCCAGGAAGATTCTGTGAATACAGGTATTTACTTAAGGTGGAAGTCACAATATGTCAGGAGAAAGGAGAAGCGCTCTCTGAGTGCTTTCCTAGTTTTAAATAGCCATTCATCTAACCTGGACGTCACAAAGGTCACACTTCTGGGTCCTGCTAAGCGGAAGACAGAAGAGCATCAACAACCATGGCGGACGGTGATGTGGACAGCAGTCTTTTTTTAATCTTCTTGAAAAGGTTGCTTTTTAATCTAAAAGCTCTGGTTGGAAAAGTGATGAAACATCCCAAGATGGGCTCCAGCGCTACCATCCATGTTTACTTCCATAAACACAGAGCATGCTCGCTATTGTAACGTCATTGCATCCTATGCTGCACATGCAGGACACTAAAGTGTATATTGTATGAATGCAGGTCACACAGCAGATTACATAAAGGTGCACATGTTTGGAGAAAGAGAGATAAGAAATAAACCAAGCTACAGTGTTGCTTCTATGGCAGCTGCCATGTTAGTAGTTTGACAGTGAAATGGTGGTGAACAATTGCAATTAAAATGTTATTATTTCTTCCAGATGTAACACTGTTTATTCTATTCTATTCGTTGTTTTATTTTTTATTTTTCAGTTTAAGTTTAAAAAACAACTTGACAAACGCAGGCTGTAATTATTATTTTTAAATATATTTCAATAAAGAAATAAAGATAGCTTTGATTTAACCAAAGTGGATCATTTTGTTGTGAAAATGACAAGAATGATACAGTAACGTTTTTTTTTTCTTTCACACCGCAGACAGATTTAGGTCTAAAGTCATTTTTTGTTGGAAGTCCTGAGTCTGCAGATGGGGTTGCAGATGAGGCTGATGGAAAGGAGGCTTTCCAGCTTTCCAAACTTGAAGACTTGGAGCTGCCATTAAGAAGAAATCATCAGAACCTCAGTAGAAAAATGAAAAAAAAGAGCTGTGAAAGCTGTGATTTCTATTGCTTTTTTTTTTTTTTTTTTAAGGCTTAACTGAGTCCACTTCCTATTCTAATCTGCTCAATCTTCATGTTTGAGTTTGAGACACCTAAAGACTTTGAATTAAAAGGGAATTTAAACTCTAAAAGACAAGAGGGGAGTTATCAATACCAAATTTCTAAGAAGCTGAGATTTTTTTTTTCTGGAATAATCTTCCAGATATCTAATTCTACTGATTGACATTTAATATTCAGAGTTCAGTAGAACCTAAATTAAATAAGAAAACATTGTTAAACAACACGAAGCACCTTCTATCTATACCCCACTGTATCCTTGTCAGGTCTGGAGCATGACTGCGGTCCAGAGGTTAATGGAAGAGAGGAGGGTTAAGCTCAGAACTGATCACCAGACCACCACAGGTAATACAGCTAGGAATGCTCACAGACACCCCAAGGAAGTTAGAGCGCCAAGCTAACGGTCAGGGTTTGGATGCCAGAAGCTGGAACTACAGAAACCAACTCATGCAGCTTGACCCTCTTTTTGCAAAAGCGCTTACAGCTGCACCATCCTGCAGCCCATAATAAATCCTTTTACAGCTAAATTCCACCTGATTGGTTATAAAGGCAACCAAATAAATATGATGAAATATAATTATGACTGTAAATCCTTAAGTACTCAGTTCACCCACTGGTCAGAAATACCAGATTTAAAAGATTTGAAATGTCTTTCTAATTACATAAGATATGGAAAATAAATCTTTTCATTCTCACCTTTGTAATCTTAAAGACAAAAACTCAAATTGTAAACTGAGCTTTAGTGGTTTGATGGGGAATTTCTAGATTTTCCAAACAGCTTTAAGGAAAGAATCGAAAATGTGAGATTTATTTCTCCCTGAATTAAATGTATTGAAAAAAACACGGTGAAATTAAAGGAAAAAACGTTGATTGTCACTAAAACCAAGTCAATATTTATAATCTTTGTATATATTTCCAGATACATGCTTCTTTATTTCATAAAGCTGCATAAATATGAAGCGCACTCAACTTTAACATTCAGACATCAACTAACTAAAACATTTCATGCGCTGCTTTGTGTGTTGGAGAGCAACCCAAACACTTCCTCTGGAGTGGAACCATTTCCTGCAGGATGTTCAGGTTTCTGGCCTGGCCTGTGTCCCTTTTGTGTGGAGTTCATGCGACACGTCCAGTTTACATGTTCGCACCTCCAACACAACATCCTGTCTGAATGAATCTCATCTTCCTCCTCTCAGTCGACATCCTTTTTTCCTCTCTGTCTCATCTTTCTCCTTCTTTCACATGTCATTATTCATTTCATCATCTTTCCCTCATTTATATCCTTACAAGTCTGCTTGCAATCATGGAATTTCCTCCGAATTTGTTCCTCATTAAGTGTTCCAATGACAGAAGGTTTTTCCTTTTTTTTTTTTTTAAGCCACAGTCACATGGAGCAAACACCTACGTCACTGTTCCTGTGTTGCCTCTTAGGGTTTATTGTAAAACATTTAAGAGGGCTCCTAAAAGCTCCTCGTAAAACTGTGAGAATATAATCCTCAAATTAAAAGCTGTTCATCTCAACAGGGATGCTTAAAACCTACTAAACCGTATGAGACAAGGGCTAGAAATCCAGTTTTCTTTATATTTTTTGCTTCTTGTTTTTGTCTGTTGGTAAATTCAAAAGCCTCCTTCAATAATAAAAGTACATTAAGCTTGTTTTTAAGTGCAAAATTATATAATTTCACTGTATTCTGCAAATTATTGTGCAGAATCCAATAGAAATGTGATTCTACAGACTTTATCATAATAATCAGAACTTTATCTCTTCTTCTGTTATTTGGTTTAACAAAATGTATGAAACACATTTATTTGATCCCTTATAATGAGGAAAAAAGCATAAGTATCAGACGTCCCCTTAAAAAAATCTTCCCCTGTTGCCACAAACACAGACAAACAGAACAGACGGACCTGTTTGACGCGGTCCGGGTTGACGGTGGTCTGAGGCTGCAGGATGCTGACTGGTTCTGTCTTCTGGGTGCTCTGAGGCATCTCCCTCACCTTCTCAGCGATAAAGTCATGCACACCGTTCAGGGCCTCCACCGTCCCCTGAATCAGACACACCCGCTCTGTCGTGCCTGAAAACACACAGACACACACAGGCGGGTCAGGAAAGGTCCACAAAGAAAGGTTAAGACAACAAGCAGGAAAAAAACATATTTCATGAGGCACTAGTCTCCTTCTTCACAACTATAAAGACAAAAACGTACAACTATAATCCAATAATGTTGAACTTTTACTATGTTACAGCTAATATAGATCTCTACTGATTTGTAGTTCTTCTAATCCTCCTAATCTGTAGATTAGAGGGAGTTTAAAGAGATTCTAATAATTTTTCTCCAACTTTGATCAATCTTTGCCTTTTGCTTTCATCACAGAAATTATCGTAAATAAAGGGTTTTCTGAAGTAAAGCTATCAAAGGACAAATTGATTTTATATCAGCTAGCTGCAGCTGTGGAGGAAGCTTTAAATGGATGTTTAAATAAACCAATACATGTTTTGATTACGTAAAGATGGCTGCAAGCAAAAGGAATGTAAGACAAAGCAGAACCTCTCAGTCCAGCTCAACAGAAAGTCAGTGTCTCACACTTTCATCATTTATTGTCTCTGGTTTATTTCTGGTTTATTATTTCTCATTTCATTCTCCCCATCTCCCTTTCATCCCATGTATTTTGTTTGCTCTCCATCCCTTTTCCCTTGATTGGAGTATTTAGAAGGTTCTGGTTTTATCACCATCCAGCAGTGAGTCGGTCCGGGCTCCACTTCCCTTCTCTATCCTCTCCTGGGCCGCCTTAGTGTGGCTCAGCCCTCTGTGGCTCCTTCCGGAGCAGAATTGAAACGTCTCTGTTTGCTCAGTTCGTTTAGTATTGTAAGAGGTAACTGAGATGATGAAGTTCAGGACAGAAGGAGTCTGTGACAGTAGAGACTAAAATAAAGCAGCATGTTTGTCATTTGCAGATTCAGTCACATGCTCAGGCTGAATCTGTCTATGAATCCAGTTTGCATCAAACTGCCATTGCTGTGAATTGCTGTTTCTACAGGCTGATGACAGCAGAGACAGACATGATCTGTAGACAGCGGCTGAATGCCTCATTTGGTCGAGAGAGTCTGATGACAAGATTAAAAATCCAATTAAATATAGAAGTTAACAGTTAAGCCATTTGTTGCTCTACGCTTTTTTTTCTATTCTATCCATTTTTTTTTCAATCACCCTCCCTTGACCACTGAGCTGTCTGTGTGTGTGTTGACTCTGAGGAAACTGGGCCTCGCCTCTCCCTGACAGCTGGTGCCCTCTGGGTAATCTGCAGTCATCCAATCAGAGGCGAGGATTAACAGGCCATTGTCTTGGCATGAGAAAGCGAGTGTGCGTTTGTTTCGTGTGTTGCCGTGTGAACGTACGTGTGTGTAATAGTGGTAGGAAAGGCCAGTCTGTCACCGAGGATTGCATTGGGGCTGCTGTACAGCTGTGCTTTGGCAGCGAAGACCAGCTTCACCCCATCGCTAGATATTAACCCAACGCCCCAAGAGCTTCCATATGATACACAACACACCATAATCGCTTATGTGTTATACATGAATGCAGAAGTGATTTAAACCCCTGCTCCTTACAATGCTTCATTAAAGCCTTCACCATCACATACCTAAAGTAAAACTTTGTTTAATTACGTTGTCTTGCTTTTTTTTAAAGTCTCAAATAAACACACTTCAGAGCAAGTTTACTTCAGTCAGTTTGGACTGTTTGACTGCTAAAGAACAGAATGTTCTGGTCCAGATTCGGGGCTTTTTGTCTTTTTTTTTATAAGGTAATATGTTGCAACATGTCTGTAAGGCTTTACTGCTACTAGTGAGGTAGTTTAACCATTTTATTCAAATGTCTAGAGCAAAAGAATATTTAAAACTACCTCAAACCCCACTGCTCACTCCTTTTTATATCACACCTGCAAAATAAAACAGCAGAAATGATTTACTGGCTTCTGGTTTCCACTTGTAGCGCTGTTTTCAGTCTGTGGACCTCATCTGGTCAGGCCTTTAAAAACTTTCTGAAAGCTCCCCTACACTAAAAAAAACTTTGAACCTCCTTATCTTCAGTTTCTCTGATTTATTGCAACAAATTTTTGTTTTATTTCACATTAGTTTTAGTTTGCTCTTTTTAATCTGAGCTGAAAGTTGTATAAAGAGGTTACAATTGTGTGTTCTTCACAATGTAAACTGGTTCCTATCATAGCAGTGGACTGAAACAAACCTAATTGATGTGACTGGAATGTTTCTGCCAGCTTTTTAAATTAAATTAAATTCCACATAAAACCGAAATATCCTGATTTCATGCATGGCTGTGCTGCAATTTCAAATCTCTAATGAAATCAAAAGTGAAGTCATTTCAATAAGCTTTAATAAACATTGGGATGATTATGTCTCAGTAGAACCCTTTCCTGAAATATGCCCCCACACACAAACTCACCGTGGTAGACGTATAAATGCCAAAGCAGCGCCAACGCAGCAGAATTTATACATCCCTTAGTGATTTAAAGTCAGCTCAGTTGGCATTCTGTTCCGTGAGTACGTAAGTGTGAGTCTGCAAGTACATTTTAACATTTACTCTTCAAAAAAAAGAAAAAAAAAAAGAAAATCAAGTTTTGGACATTTTTGTGAGTCAGGAACTTTTTTTCAGTTTCAGAGGAAATCTCTTTGATTTGACGGATTACTGCATTTTTGAAACAAATTCTCTGCAAATCAAAACTTAAAGCAGGTTTAACAGTGAGAAAATGTACTTTGAACTGGGGTTTTCATAAGTAATGCTTTCAGTGGAGCTGATCCCGAGCTGAATATATGAAGAATTATTAGTTATTATCTGTTATATGGAGCATAGGCGGAAGTTCAACTGAATAAACTGATTACTCGCCTTCATCCACCTACGACACAGCTAATCACCTTTGAACCCCACCTCCACGAAAGCCAATCAGCATCCAAAGTTCATCTTAAAAGGCCTTCGTTCCGCAACCCGTCTGCTACCTAGTGCGCAGGCGGCGGATGCGATGTGTGACTTTATTCAGATGACACCGTTTCAGCCCATCTCCGGCCCCTCCTCCACCATTGTAGCTAAAACTTCATCAGAGTTTCATTCCTCCTGGACTCTTACTGCGTTCCACATTTCATTTAAACCGGTCCGGCAGAAGACCGCCATGTTGAGACTGGTTCTGCCAGAGGTTTGTTCCCAACAGGGAGTTTTTCCTCTCCACTGTCGCTTCATGCTTGTTCATCATAGACAGGTTCTCTCAACCTGTGTTATGCAACTGGACTTCTACCTTCCAGGTCCCTGAGTGAAGCTCTAGTATCAGATCAGTCCACTGGATCTCTCCATAAAGCTCAGCATACCGACTCGCTAACCAGCAGTCTACAGACTGACCGACTTCATCTATCTCCACTCCACCACTAGTTTCAGGCCTGGGGGGGAAAGCCCTATTCTTTGCTCCTATTCATGCATATCAATCAAAATTAAGTGCTATGTTTCCCGCCGAGGTCTGAGCACCAAAGTAAGTAATTGTATCAATATATTTCTTCTAATTGTCTTTTCTCTCAGTCTGTTTTCAGATTGAACAGTAGTAATCCAGTCCAGTTAAAAGTTCTGGAAAAAAAAAGACTGCAGAGACTCAAAGGTACAAGTCACAGATGTTAAAAGTATACAGAATCTAACTGAGCTCCAAAGTTTAGGTCAGGAGGAAACGTTTCAGAGATGAAACACCTGCAGCAGCAGTTCAGGAAAGGAATGCTGACACTAAATAATGATTCTCTGCTTAACTCACAAGTTCAAACTGGACTCAAGTCGGTTTATAAATGATCTGTTAGAGGTATATCTTTACACACACACACACACACACACACACATTGTTCAGTTGCTGCAGTCCTCTGAAGATGACATGCATTGAAGGCAAAGAGCCTTGGCCAGACATGAACTCGGTTTCCACAGTGACAAAGTGACCCGGCACCTTTTCGTTCAACACCAGAACACTCATTGTCGTCGTGAGCCAGGTTGCAGACCATGGCGCTTGTTTTTATTAAGGTCTAACTAACATGACTCACTCCTTCCTCCCCTGCACTCCTCCTCCTCCTCCTCTCCCTGATGATCAGAGAGGCAGTGGTAACAGACATTAAGCACAGAGAGCTGTTTCTCTGATTTGTGACTCACAGCAACATGAAGGATTGGTACGCCGTAGATTGTTAGGACTTCAAGATGAGCTCGACAGGAACATCCCTCTGTGGTTAAACGCGAACAGAACAGAGCACGTGTTGGAGACATAAAGTTTACTTTTTTGGAGGAAGCATCAAAACAAATAAGGAGACATTGTGGAATTTAAAAAAATGTGTTTTTATTGACCAAAGTTAGAAGAAAAGCACACTGTAAGCCAAGGATCTGGTTCTTATTCAAATGAGCGGGTTATCCTTCAAAACCTCATAATTCTACACAGGACAACCCAAAGGCAAGACTAGTCCTTTAGAGCCAGATATTTGGCTTGAACTGCTACCTCAAAGCAAGAAGGTTCTTGGCCTGAATCTCTCTATGGGAAGCTCTCTGAGTTGAATGCTTTCCACACTCTGTGGCTCCTCCCAGGGTTCGAACACATCTAGCTGAATTGTAAATAGGCACAATGGTCTCCAATGTCTCATCAGAATGGGTTTGATAAAACGTAACTGTGGGAATTTTTCTACATTTCCTGAGAACATTTCACTTTTCATTTGAAATGCTCCCAGCTTTACACTTAATAAATGTTAAGAAGTCAAGAAACAAAAATGTGAGATGCACTGATTTTCATTCTGAATCCTGAGATAAGAATCCATGCAAACATATTTGATTTTACCAAATACTACATTTCTATAGTTGGTCAATTTTCCTAGCTTAACACAGGGTGTGTATGAACCTTCCTGCTCCATTGTGTGTCCTCTTTGATTTCTTTATGAGGTCTAACAATGGTGTAGCTACAGTGGCTCATAAAGATCACTCCCTGTCTCACTGCCTGTTAATTGCATTAGTCAACCCACAATTAACAGTCATGATTCATACTTTCCATCCTCATCCGGCCA